GGGGGGGGGGGGGGGGGCAGTGAAAGGGCAGCACATCCTCTGGAGAAAAGAAGGGCGGACAGGAGGGGCGTAGATGCAGATGGTCCCCAAGCGACAGGCCCCATTCCAGCGCGGGAGAGAAAAATGACATGCCCACTCCTCTCGGCCTTCTTTCAGCTTGCTCTGCGTGGCTGATTTCTCCTAGCAATTAAATCCACCCCCAACTTTCAAAGGGAGGACAGAAAAAGACTTTTCTTCCCCCCCCCTTTTAATGGCTGATGAGGAAGCCAATCTGGCCCCCAACTTTCTCTTCTTGCCATCAGCCCCTCCGGTGGTGCTTCAACATCCTTGGCCCCACCAAGGCTTCCAAACTGGGGTTGCTGGTGCAAGCAAAGAGACAAACATGAACTGCGTGCCCGGAGTGGCCATAAGAACGCTATTTAAATCGAACTCAACGTTCAGAGCATGCAATTTATTTTTATTTTTTCACTTTATTTATTTTCCTCCTCCCTGGTTTCCTCCAGGACTTTGAGGAAGGGATCCTGCACCATTTAAAGCACCCTTGGCCTCGAAAAGGTGGCACAGCCTCTTTTAACTAGCAGCAACCCATTCGATTCATCAGTGGGCAGACCCCAACTGAGCGATCAATGCTCGAATTCAGCGCAAAGAGTCGCTCGCTTTGCATTTCAAAGATCCTGACAACTCTAGTTAATAGGATTAAAAAAACAGGGAGGTCTGACTCCACCACCACCTCTTATTAACTGAGACTTCATCCCAACCCAGTAAATGGGGTTCGGAAACGGCGTGACCCTGAAAGGGCTAGTCACCTATGGTGAGAAAAATCACATTCTAGGTGAGCCCACAAGGAACACTTTTGCAAAACCTGTGGCCAGCAGCCAGGCGGAAGAAGAGCTGAAACCCTAGAATTAAGGTCTGTTCCTATTGATCTCTGGTCTTGTAGAAGGGTATTGGTTTGCATTAGTAAAAGACAGCAAAAAATATCAGTGATCATGCCAAAAAACAACGCAAATCCATGACATTAAAGTAAGACTTATGGGGGAAAAGGGAACGAGGAGAGGGGGAAAAAAAACAAAGGATCCAAATGATGTCGATGCAGAATTAATTCCATCGTTAAACTGATTATTCAATCTAAACCTTATGGAAACCTGTCGCTCCATCGCTTTATTTTTAGAATGCAAAAACCCTCCAGAAATGGACAGAGGACACCTCTCCTGAATCCATTTTAACATCTAGATCTCTTTCCCTCTGTGTAAGATAAAAGTCTTCTTGAATCTTCCTTAACCCTCATGGGGGAAAATAGGGGAATATTGGCGATCGGCGTGTCAATTACGACAATGTATTTTGCACCCTTAAAAGAATTCCCATCGCAGTGGATTAAGAATCCTAAACTCGTTTTCCGCCCTAACCTGGGATTAATTCTAATTCTCTTTTTCAGCCTTCAGTGAAAATCCGCAGAGCTCATTCTGGCGGAGATCCGCCACCTTGATAACCCGTCCCGTCCAAGTAGATTGAAGGTAGTCTTGGCCAAGTGAAACTCAACTCCTGATGATTTTATTTGGTTATCTATTTATATTTTGAATTTAGACACCGCCCATCTCACAAGAAAGTGAGATCTTATGGACACCTCTATGAGGTTTTCTTCCCAACGATATGGAAATGGTTTCCCACTGTTTTATCCAAGGCGTCTTTTTCACCTTTAACCATTTTTCACCTTCAGCCCTTACCTCCAAGGGTTGCTTGTTTACAGCTGCGGAATTTCCTAGTGGTCTCCCATCCAAATGCTAACCAGATCCAACCCTGCTTAGCAGAGGCCAACTAGGTCTTACCCACTAAGTTGCACCCTAGGATATAGCGCCTTCTTAGTCTTCAGCCCTAACTCATCCCCCCACCGGCTCAGCCTCAGACTTCACAACGGCCCTCGTATTTGGCTAGCAAGGCCAAAAAAGGGCTTTGCAAATTCAGAAGGCCACAATGCTTTGCTCTTCCAGTGCCAAACTGAATTTGAAGGAGAGGTTCTCTTCCTGCTTCAGTTCCTGCCTGCAATCTGTGGAGGTTTCTTTTTAGATTCGTAGCAGGGCAGAGATGCAAAATGCTAATGAATCCCGTGGTTTATCCATTTCAATTCAGTGTGTTTTGCAAATCCAACCCACTGTGATTTGAAAATCATGGTTGACTATAGCTTCACTGGCTCGTCAACCCAACCAACCACCTGAGCTTTATTGAATACCGGTAGTCCTCAACTTATGACCATAATTGGGACGGGAACATCCATTGCTAAGCAATGCGGTCGATAAGTGAGTCGTGCCCAATTTTACGACCTTTTTTGCCATGGTTGTTAAGCGAATCCGGCTTCCCCGATTGACTTTGCTTGTCGGAAGCCCCCCAGGAAGGTCGCAGATGGCGATCACATGCCTCTGGGATGCTGCAACTGTCATAAATTTGTGCTGGTTGCCAAGCACCCAAATTTTGATCCCATGACTGCAGGGATGCTGCGACAGTCGTAAGTATGAGGCTCAGCCATAAGTCACTTTTTTCAGTGCCATAGTAGCTTCAAACAGTCATTAAACAAATGGTTGTAAGTCGAGGACTACCTGTAAGCATTGCTCAACCAAACCATGGAACCTGAAATATCAGGTTAGGGATAGATCATCATGGAGAAAATCTATCTATGCAGTTGCTAGGAGTTGAAAACAGCTTGATTGCACATAATCAATCAACCAAACCATGGCTTGATGCAGTGGGCACACCAGACCACTGTTTAATCCTCATCTTTTAGAAGAGTTAAATTAAAAGTGAACGATATCTTAATAGATAATGAACAAAATAAAATTTAAGACAAAGTTAAAATACATTTATAAAACAACCTAACATCTATGAACGAGGTCCAGGATGCAGTCTATATTTAAATTATAAAATAAACACACAGACACACATGCATGTTTATGTGTGTGTCTATTTTATTTTATTTTATTTATTTATTTATTTATTTATTTTAGGCTAATTGCCCCAGAACTGGATGGCCAAATCAACGTCAAAAAGAGAGGGATTCTTCCCCTGTGTAAAAAAATCAGTAGGATTTGTTTAAAAAGCAGAAGCTTTCCTGACCTGCAGCAAACACCCTGCTAAATAAATAAAAGAAAAAACCAAATAAATAAGTAAATACTCCGTGCCTCTGAGGTGCTGCTCAGGAAAGCTGATGCCTTTCAGTCCAACATGTTAGTTGGCGAAGGTCTGCCAGATCCCGCCGGATGATCGACTAGCCAGTTCTCCTCCTACAACGTCCACCATGGGAATTCTCCCCGGAGGACCATCTCTCGACCCGCCAATAACGCTCAGTGGTTTGCTACGTGGAAGTCTTTCCCAAGTGACTACGAGCTGCCTTCCACCATGACCTTTTTTAATTTATTTTTCTCAAAGTTGCAACAACCCGCTGGGTCCAGACCACCGTCTTTCATAAGCCCTTGCAGATCTCCTAGCAGATTTCAAGTTACTTCCTTTCTGCCTGCAGATACATCTGCAGACCTAAAGCCCTTTGCTCGTCTAGGATCTTACAAACTCATCTGTTTCTGCAAATTTAGGAAGTCTCTTTGACATTTGGCAGGAAATGGGACTTTCAGGCTGAAGCTCAGCCCTAACCAAGCCACGCTGGGGCTTCGCGTGACCCTCTGGAGACCCTCAGACTTGCTGAGGCTGGGAACGAGGGGCCAGGAAGGACATTGCGTGGCACTCTTGTGTCATTAGTCTGGTATTTCCCCAGTGCGGGTGTGCAACTCCGAACAGCAATCCATGTACAAAACAAGAACCTGGACAGACAAGGCAAAACTAAAGCCAGGGTTATTCCAACCTGATCTCCTGTCTTTTTGCCCCGCCTTTGTCGTCCCTCTCTTGCAGGTCGGGGCCCCAAAAGAAGAACCCACCTAGCAGGGGTGTTGCTCTCAAAGCGCCTGTTAGATGGCAGCAAAGAGAGTCAGCAAAGAGATTCAGCAGAGCTTAGCTCCCTGCTGACACCCTGTGGTCATCTCGATTTGTGCCACCGGAGGAATGCCAGGTCTTGGCACAGGGGCGTTTTTCTCATTTGGAGGTTTCTGTAGGGTTAGGGACTGCAATTCCCAAAGATTCCTGGTCAGGGTGACCTGGGATTCTGGGAGGTGCCGAATCAGGGAAAAATACTCTCCAGGAGAGAGTCCTTCTCGCTCTTTAATTCCTGCCCAAATTATGCCTACTCTGGAACCCAGGGCGAAGGCCCAGGAGGCAGAAAACTAAGATGACCAGGGTTGGAAAGAGAGTGGGTGGGCAGGCCGTTTCGTCATTTTTTTAAAGTTTTTATTAAAAGGTTTTACATCGATAATAAAAAATACATTCAAAGGAAAGAAAAGAAAATATAGTAAATGTGAAAAAGTTTGGTGTAGTGGTTAATGGCATCGGGTTAGAAGCCGAGAGGTCATGAGTTCTAGTCCCACCTTAGGCACGAAAGCCAACTGGGTGACTTTGGGCCAGTCCCTCTCTCTCAGCCCAGCCCACCTCACAGGGTTGTTGTGGGGAAAATAGGAGGAGGAAGTTCACCGCCTTGAGCTATTTATAAAAACAAATAATAAAGGCAGGATAAAAAGTCTAAAAAAGGAAAGAGAGAAAAGAAAAGAAAAGAAAAGAAAAAAGAAAAGAAAAG